GAAGCCAGCAGCCAGTGTGAGTGGCCAGCAGCCACAGTGAGCGGCCATCCAGAAGCCGGCGACTGATCTGCCTCGTCCAGGAGGAGTGCAATGATGGTGCCAACTTGGGCCAGTGAAGCAACGCCCTCCACAACTAGACTGAAGAACAAAACAACAGCAACTTGTCTGTTCCCCTTCCAATTCCCCAGAGCTGTTCCCATCCCCCAATAAAAAACATCTAAAAAAAAATACATAATTTATATCCAACTGTATATATAATTTTGAATCCTTACTCTAAGAAATAGTAAATAAATGTTCCCCACTCAATTATACTGACAAAGTTTTCCAAAGTAGTTGCAAACTTATACATTCCTCCCAGAAATATAGAGTTCCAGATGATCCACATCCTTACCAACACTTGATATTATCACTCTTCAATTTTTGCCCTTCTAATGAGTATGAAGTGGTATCTTACTATAGTTTTAATTTTTATTTCCCTGATAATTAAAAATATTGAGGATTTTTCATGGGTTTGTTAGCTATTAATGTGTTCTTTTGTGAAGCATTTGTTCAAAGTTTTTGCCCAAACTGAGTTGTCTTGAGTTCTTAAAGGATTTCATATTGCAATTATTCTCTCTCATTCTGTCTTGCCTTTTCATTTTATTACTATCTTTCAAAGAACAAAAGTTTTTAATTTTGATAAAATCCAATTTTTTTTAATGGTTCAAACTTTCTATGTTCTAAGAAATTTTAGTAACCCAAGGCTCCAAAAATGTTTTCTTCTATAACAGCAGTTTTATAATTTCGGTTTTTGAATTTAAGTCTATGATCCATTTAGAACTACTTTTTTGTGTTAATTATGAGGTTAGGCATCAATGTTCACCTTTTTCTGTCTGGGTAACTCTTTCTCCACTGAACTGTATGACACCCTTGTTGAAAATCTAATGAGTATATGTGTGTAGGTGTATTTTTGTTCCACTGATCCTATTATCTATCCTTCCAATATTACCACACTTTTTTATTCTTATAGCTTGTGAATAAGTCTTGAAACTCAGGAGTGGTAAGTTTTCCAACTTTGTTCTTTTAAAAAATTGCTTTAGCTACTCCATATAAATTTTGGCAATTCTATACACATTTTGCAACTAGCTGGTCAATTTTAGCCAAAGAAGCCTGCTAGGATTTAACTGATTGAAATTGCATTCAATCTACCATTAGATATATCTATGAAACATTAGACAGCGACATATCTATGAACACTATATATTGTTCTGTACATTTAGGTCTGTAAGTACTCAGAAGTTTTCAGTATAGAGATCTTGTACAATTTCTATAAATTTATTCCTAAGTATTTTGTCTTTGATGCTGTTACAAATGATTTTTTCAAATTCTGCTGCTAGTATATACCAAAGACAACTGATTTTAAAAATATAACCTTGTGTCCCAACAATCTTGCTGAATTCAGTTATTAGTTATTTTCTAAGAATTTTCTATATAAACAATCATGTTCTCTGCAAATAGAAAAGTTTACTTCTTTTCTGATGATTATGACTTATATTTCTTTTCATTCTTCTCTCCCTCCAACAATGCACTTTGTTAACTGAGCCTTGAAAGTAATTCCAAAGTGTTAACTATGCCAGAAAATTCCAATAACTATAACCAATGATTTTCTTAAAAAGATAATTGGCCAAAAGAAAATTATTTAAAAAACACCCCAATTTTGTTAGATGAAGAACATTTATCTTATGACAAAATAAAACTTAGTCAAGAACTATGTGATTATAAAACATAAAATAAAACTTAGTCAAGAACTATGTGATTATAAAACTAAGTAAAATGATCACACCTATACCCTTAAATAAAAAAATCTAAAATCTAAGACTATATAATGTCAGCATTGGTATCACTACATCAAAGCTAGAATTATGAGAAAATGAATAATGCAAGAACCTCATTACTTTCTCCTGTTTAAAAATAGCATTGAATGGATGTCTAATCCTCACATATTCCCTTAAGTAACTAATTGTATCTCCATTTTATATATAAGAAAATTAAGAACTGGAGAGACTGAACTAATCTAACAAAAGTCACTCAAAATAAGTGGCGGAGCCAGGATAAGAATTAAGAGTTTGACCCCAGAACCTATGAATTTTAATCTTAACTACAAAGTTACTGATACCTCTTCTTCACTGGCCCACATAATACTGCGCTCTAGCCACATTGATCTAAAACAAATTAACAGTAATTATAAGTGTCTTTTTCTTCCCAATAACTCTACCATAATACTTTGTCTTGTTCCAAAAGGAACTTAATGCTATTGGTATTTTATTAAGTAAGTAGTGGCAAGGGCTGGCCGAGTGGCGCAATGGTTAAGAGCTGGCTTGGGACGCCAGATGGCCCTGGTTCGGATCCCACATATGAGGGCCAGTGACACTGCTCTCTACAGCTAAGATGATGAACAACAGCTCAACCTGGAGCTGGGCTGCCGTGGGTCACCGGCAGCGGTATAGGCTGCAGCCCCTACTGCAGTGGGTTGCCATGGGCTACCATGTGTAGCCAGCAGCCAGCAGGAGTGGCCAGCAGCTGCAGTGAGCAGCCGTCCAGAAGCCGGCGACTGATCTGCCTCGCCTGGGAAGAGCGCAATGATGGTGCCAACTAGGGCCAGTGAAGCAACGTCCTCCACAACTAGACTGAAGAACAAAACAACAGCAACTTGTTGGGTCCCCTTTCTCCAATTCCCCAGCGCTGTTCCCATCCCCCAATTCCCCAATAAAAATCTTAATAAATAAATACACAAATAAATAAATAAGTAGTGGCAAAAGTAAAATACACTTACTGGTTTCGGGCAAAAGTAAAATACACTTACTGGTTTCGGCATTTTTCTTCTTTTTGTTGCCTTCTTTAAAACTTCACTTTTATGAATTCTGTTGTCACCTTCTGTTAAAGAAAAAGCAGAATTGATCTATTATCTTTTTAATATAATGCCTTTAACTTAATGCTTATAGAAAATAAAAATTACATTTTAAAATACTGATTTAAAATAACATAGAGCTCTCTTAATGTAATTTTTCAATGTTTTCTACTATCATTTCTCTAACTCTTTTGCCACATTAACCGATTTCAAGATTTTTTTCAAAATGTGTCAGAAATCCACACCAAAAAAAGTTGACTATTTTGACTATTTTATTCATTTAATAATAACAATTTGAGCTTTGTATATACATGACATTTTTATGTATAAAATTTCCTATCATTATTCATTCTTGAAAAACACAAAAATATAGAAAAATGTTAACTCTGCTTTTCTAAACTTCCTTTCTGGAAGTCTTCATCCGCAGTTAGAAAATGGAAATATTCCTTCGGATTCATCCAACTGTCGTGGCAAAAGGACTAAACATATTTACAACTTTGATTTAAAACAGAATGTATCACAAATAACATAATAAAAGCATATTGGTCAATTAAAACTTTAATTAGAGATAACACGTAGCAAGGAAACAAGATTGCGAAGGGCCCAAATGCTGTCTCTGAGTCAGGTTCACCCATAAACCTAGTCTGGTAGAGAGAGGGATAATAAAGGTAAGGATGGATGGAATTCAGGGTCTAAACAGACGAACCCAAGAACACTTTTCAACCTTTTCTGTATTGCCAAAAACAAAAGGAAATTCTGATTAATATAAAATATAAAAAGTGAATTTTTTAAAGAAAATTATTTTTTCTTCTTGAAAGTTTAAAAATACAAGTAGAAAAGCATATATATATATATGTATATATATATATATACATATATATATATATATATATAT